CCCTGTGAGGTCCTGTGACATGTGAAGGGTTAGAACTCCCTTAGTCCGTTATGAGAGGGTGTCACCCCTCCCAGAGACCATATGTAGTTTAAGGACAAGTCAAGTAGAGGGAACCCTGCTACAGGGACAACTGTAACTATCTGAATACAGACACATTTTTAATTTTTTCTTTCCATTTGAAGACAGTTCTATTACTCTGAAGAGTCCATGAAAAGGACTGATAAGGGAAATCATAAGATCTTAAAGCAGGTCAGTATATTTTTCTCCTTATATAATTCCCCCCAAATTTGGCAATACTTAATTAATAAATCATGGCAATACATTTCTTTGCATAAATTCCATTAATACTATTTTCCAATAGTGGTTTTATTGACCAAAAACTTTGACTGGAGTGTCATATTTTAAAGAACCGTCTAAACGCTGAAGACTTGAAGCCAATAAAAGTGCCACGGAAAAAGTCTGGTGTCCTGCTTAGTAGCCCTGAAAATAGCTGGCGCTGAAGCATCAGGCCCATACCCTACCATCACTGGCAGTTAGAGTAGAAGGGAAGCAATAAGGGCGCCTCTGCATCCCCGTGGACCCCCACGCACTCTAGGCTGCAATGAGTAGGAGGGCTGCTGAGATGGGCCTTGAAGCCTAGGGCATGGGCCCGAGTGGAGTTCCTGCAGGTGAGAGATTCACCTAAGTCAATAGATACTGCAGGCGGGCTTGGTGGCAGCAGGATAGCTTGGCTTCCTGGCCCTATGGGGCACATTAAGATTCAATTATGAAATTCCAGCAAAGGGGGGCAGTTACCATTCTTATTGTGTTTATGCAAACAATCAGACCAAATTAAATGCAATAGCTGGCGCTGAAGCATCAGGCCCATACCCTACCATCACTGGCAGTTAGAGTAGAAGGGAAGCAATAAGGGCGCCTCTGCATCCCCGTGGACCCCCACGCACTCTAGGCTGCAATGAGTAGGAGGGCTGCTGAGATGGGCCTTGAAGCCTAGGGCATGGGCCCGAGTGGAGTTCCTGCAGGTGAGAGATTCACCTAACTCAATAGATACTGCAGGCGGGCTTGGTGGCAGCTGGATAGCTTGGCTTCCTGGCCCTATGGGGCACATTAAGATTCAATTATGAAATTCCAGCAAAGGTGGTCAGTTACCATTCTTATTGTGTTTATGCAAACAATCAGACCATATTAAATGCAATAAATTAGTCTTGATTTGGCTCTTTTAATAAACAGAGGAATAATTTTAAGGAGAAAAATTCTATTTTAATAAAAGTTATTAAAACTGAAATGTTTTCTTTCCCTTCCACCAGACCATTTGTTATAACTCTTGCTATTCTAATTGCTCAATAATACTAAATTTTATAATAGTTTGTCTCCACCAAGTCACAAGCCCACCTCCTTCTGTGGCCAGGTCTCATCCCTCTGACAGACAGCAAGGATCTCTTGGCTCTGAAAAAAACCTCTGACCTGCCTCAGCTGGAAGTAATTACAGAAGAAATCCAACGTCCATTTTCCGAAAGAATTCAGAGCCAGGCTCCTTGAGGTAATATATTAGGCAGTTAGACAGACATGAGCAGGAGAATGGGCCACCTAGCACTACCAAATGTAACTCTTTCCACCTCTACCTATGTGAGACAAGGGGACTCCCCAGAAGCAAGAGAAAAGTAGGCTGCAAATGAGGCAGCCCAGGAGGCTGCCCTAAAACCAGTGGGGCCTCTACAGATTCTAGCGACTCTTCCAGACCCTGACCTACCCACCTCACCAGCTTACACAGAAACCCAATCTAGAAAAGCTGAAATCCATAACCAATCTTTACTCAAGTTCTTTCAGGCTTTATAGTTGACCCAGAAAGAATCCAGAAGTATGTCCGAGATGCTCTGCCTGTACCAATGTCTGATCTGGTTCATCCCTTCCACCCTGGTGACTCTTTTGGGGTAAAGAAATTTACCACCCAAGGTCTGACTCCTACCTGGAGAGGGCCACACACCATCATCTTGACCACCCCTCAGCAGTCAAGGTCAGTAGGATTTTGATACGGCTTCATCACACCCAGCTTAACCCCTAGAGTGCCAGGGAGCGCGATAGCGTTCCTCCTGTCTTTTGCCAAAAGTGCCGGGAGTGCTATCGTGCTCCTCCTGCAGTGTCACTATTAGATGCTAGTAGTTCACTCTTTATTGACAGATGGCATCTAAGTGCAGATTACTTATGATGCCAAATGTTTGTAGTTCTACAATTGACCACTGGAAGTTATCTGCCTAATTTTTTACAGGTACTACGATTTTATGAAGTTTACTCAGATTTTGTAGCCCTAAAGCTTCCAAATGGCGTCCAGTCCTAAGTCAAATTTTTTTTCTACTAGTATTTTATAATACAATCAGCAAACAATATATGTCAAAGATGAAAACAAATGTAGTAAAGGTTTCCTTAAGTTTTTGAATATGTAACTTCATTTACTTGCGATTCATAATTTTTTTCCTAAACTGCTGTAAAATCATCAAAACGCCTTGGCAATTTTAGCATAGTTCCTAGGATACTGGTTGGTACTCAAAGGGTTAAGGCAGCACCAGCAGAAGAGAGAATCCAGAACTCTTCATCAGACCCACTAAAGCTGAGAGTCACTCGCACGTACTCCTGGCCCTCATTCTGGACCTGTCTTATAAACTGGTTTATTAACTTTATTCAACAGAAAATTAATTCCATCAAGTTTATGGTCCCCAGGAGCCGATATGACTTCCTACCCAACAGTAACCCACAAGTCAATGATTTGATTCATTTACATAAAATAAGTAGGGAATGAAGCATAGTAATAATCCCTCCTTAGGGAAAACTGCTGTTTGAAACTGCTGTTTTAGAATTCTCTGCTGTTTTGAAATTCTCTTATTTTTAGACTGTAAAATAACTTTGTTTTTTAGCTTGAATAATAGAAAAGATAAACTTAATTGTCTGACCTTGCAAGCTAGCCATCTAAAGGGACTGGTATGCTGATATTGATGCTAGGTGCCTATAGAGATATGATACTCGAGGTTACAAGTTGTCTTTATAGATATGACAGGTGTTTGCTAGATATGATATGTAGTAAGGCTATAAGCTGTCTACAAAAATAACTTACACAAAGGCCCTAAAAATATAAAAAGAGAATGCTTCCTCCTTTGGGTGTTCAGAATTTGACAGAGGTAATCTGCTCTGAAACTGTGTGCAATAAATTGACTCCTAACCAATTGGCTCATTAAGGCGTCTTGTCTAGCTCGCTGATTTGTGACACAACAATTCAAAGCAAAAGACCCTTAGAACTGAGAGAGGAGATGGGAAACCAAAGAGTGGAATTACTCTTTGAATTTGAGCACCTGAAACAGACTTTAGAACATGATTAAGAAGCAGATCTTTCAAAATTAGCTGATGAAAAGGCTATTGAAAAGAAACTCAGCGCTAATATAACTGCATTTTCAAAGTACAATTCCACATCCAAACACCTACTAAGAAAGGTAGTAGAGTGCATTGCGCTGACGGAA